AGAGAATATAATATTGATAAAGCTTACAAAATATGTATAATAACAAATTTTGAACTCATAATAATAATCAAACTGATGACGTTCTAGACGAATTTTACAGACCTTTGTGTATAAACTAACCTCTTTTAGTTAACTTTTAATCAAATGCTTTGCATCGTAATGGTATAACCAAGGCCATTCAATCTCAATGAAGTTAGATTATATCCATCTTCGGTACTTTCCACACTAAAGTATGGCCAATTCGAAGTTTCATCATAGTGTAACGAATTACTTCTTTAGTTGTTTACGATGAACATATTAATAAGAAAAATAAGCTAAAAAGAGCTAGGAAAGGTTGTTTGATTACTGTCTTAATTGGTAACTTTAGGTCACCCTCTCTTGTTTCACTCACTCATAAGCCACTCTCCCTTGTTCCCCTTCCCCTTTTTTCATCCTATCAAAAAGATCCTACCTACCCTCCTACTAATCGTTTGTCTTCTATTATGATGATTGTTGCTCCACTAATGCCTTCCTTAGTCATTCTTTTTTCCTTCGCTTCTTGTAGTCATCGAGGGCAGGCCATTTCGGATATCCGATTCGATCCGATATTTTGGATCGGCAAAAAATCCGATCTAGAAAGCACCGGCTATTCGATCCGAAATTATTAATTGAAAAAAAACCATACTTATTGGCAGTGGCAGCACCACCTGTTCAAACTTCATGTAATAATAACCAAAGCATAGCATAAATAAATTCAGATTGTACCGTAGTACCATCGATTTAATTTAAAAAACCATGTTTTTAAAAAAATAGACCAAAATAAATTATTTTTAATCAAATTGAAAACGAGTAGAATATCACAGTAAAAAGTGTAAATAAATTCATTTTATATAACAATACCTTCAAAAATATTACATAACATAGATGATAGATCTATAAACCTCAATTAAAAACCCATAATCACATTCCACAAAATAATTATCATATTACTATCACTACATAATCTGGTTAATCCCATAAACCCAATAAACAATTCCAAAATCTAACCACCTAAACCATAAAGAGTACAAACTACGTTAGACAAACTTCAATTTGTCGAAAAGACTGAATGACCGTCGAGTGAGAGTAATGACTCATGAGTGTAGATGGTCGAGTGAGAGTGACGAACTAACGACTCACGTTGAGGAGGGCTAGGCGAATATGGGCGGTGACGATGAGGGCTACGGGAGGCGGGGAAGGTGAATGACAGAATGAGGTTTTGGGTTTTGTTTCATTTGGATTTTTTTTGTTTAAACGTTTATTACTTCTTATTTTGTAAGAAAACCGGATCGGATCAGATATCGAAATTTCCAAAATAAGTGATCCGAATCCAATCCGGAAAACCTGAAATATAAAAAAGCGGATCGGGTATCAGAAGTTCCGGATCGAATCAACTAGATCACGGATCGATCAGATCGGATTATTTGCCCAGCCTTAGTTGTAGTAGGTATTCTAGCCACATCGAGACTTGTCCTTGCTCATTGCATCTCCTCTTCTATGAAGCTTTACCTTGTCCTTAGTGAACGAAGGAAAACAATTATTGATGAGGGAGGCCTCTTCCTATGTAGCTATCATTGGGAGTTCTTTCCCGTTGTTCTTCATCCTTTAGCTTTAAGTACACATCATCCTCTAGCTTTAGATGAAGCTAAAATGCGTCTTCCCTTCTTTGCTTGTCCTTATTGCTCTTCATCCTCTATTAGCGCCTTAAGTAGATTCATGTGAAGTTCTTCATTGATCCAAGCTGAAATTTCTCTTCCCTTCTTTGCTTGTCCGCCCTTTGCTAATCTTGATGAGGCTTGCGGGATCCTTTCCATACACTACCCTAAATAGTGTCATGCCGATCGAGGAATTTAAGAGTTATGATAGGAAAATTCGGCTCTAGATATTTTTTGTTTGTCCTTTCGTTTGGGGATGGTATGTGTGATGCGTATTTACGCAGCTATTTTGAGTTTCTTGAATAAAAGAAACAATCTTTAAACCTTTCTTGGATATTAATATGTTTAATATGTTTAATATACAATTGTAGTTGTATGTATTCGTTTTCCTGGAGGAAAAATGAACTAAAGAGTTTTTGTGACACAATGATAGAACTCCCAAGGCTCGGTTGAGAGGTGATACTTGCTCGGTTCAAGAATCAAAATTTAGCACAACGGCAAGGTTTAACAAACCATAAACACAAGCTAAGCTCACGTTTTTCATATGATAATCAAAACTCAAATCTCTACCGAAAACGTTACAACCTAAAGCCCTTTACATAGGCAAATATTCTAAAATCTAAAGATAAACTAATTTCTAAACTAAATCTATCAAAATAAAAGATAAATAACAACTAAATATAATCTATAATAACCACCCAAAAGATATACTTTAACTAACTCTTCTAGTATCTTCCTGATATGCATCAATGTGTTTCTCTTGAGCTCCGTCCTTTGCAAGTTAAACAACACTCGATCTCGATTCGACACAATGAAGGAAACCCATGGATTCGACTATTTCTTGCGTGAATTTCTCGAATGGATGTTTGAGGCCTTTAAAGTGAACAAACTTTGATGTTCTTTCCATTACTAACATTACCGTATTGACTACTTTTAGTGTGGCAAACCTTCTATTTATTTTTCTATCAAGCCGTGCTTAGCTTCATATAAGCTTCGATATCCTTACGTATTCACGGCCAATTCCATCTGGCTGCCACTTGCAAATACGTTTTCATCTTTCCATTGTGCTCTCCTACTATGTTGCGTAATATGCTCTGCATTATGCTCGGTCAATAAGTGGGCAATATAGGCATATCTCGAGAAAAATTTTTGTAACACCCGGTTAACCCTAGTTTTTCTCTAACTCCCTTAGATTTCATTGGGCAACCCACTTGACCATAGCCTTTATCTTCTCCATGTCTATCGCCACTCCACTCCATGAAATACCTCTTCCTTCCCAAATTTGGGCTTGTTTTGATATGCAATGTTCTCCCAATTTCGAAAGGACCAGTTTCATATGTTCAAAGATGGCTTTCTTGAGTAGCGCTATAGATCGAAATATTATCATAAAAGACTAGCAAAAACTTCCTCAAATCGGCTGAAATACATCATTTCTGAGAGCTTGTAAGGTTTTCAGAGCATAATTTAAGCCAAAGGACGTCACCAAGAATTTGCAGTGCCCCTCTTGGGTTTGAAATGTTGTTTTGCGAGTGTCTTGTGATTTTACTCGAACCAATTAGTGGTTAGAGTTCCCGGCCCAAGTTTTTACGGCTATTGTACTTTGTACCACTTGGCAGGTCCCTTTTTCTTGTGTGAAAACGCCACTGCCCAACAATACTCTAAATTCCTTCCCTTAATTGGCTATAATTCAGGCTTACGTCATGATATTGGTGGAGATGAGTTATGCTAAGCCCGGGAATTAATTATTATCACCACTTCCCTCTCACCGACCTGCCAATACCTTCATGGTTTTAGGGTTCAAAATCCCCACCATTGAATACAGGGATCTCCGCCTGTGCCGCCTCTTCCTTGCTGTACCATCTTTCTTCCCGAATAGCAAGACATTTAATTCCCTTTTTTTTTACGCTGATATCCCACTCCCCACCTTTTGTCACGTCACAGCCCTTTTGCCATTCTCTCTTGCAATCTGTCTCCAACAACCGTTGTGGTTTGCCGGAAGATGGGTTTGATGTTGTTGATGTTTTTAGAAGATTACTGAAACTTGAGACTCACTCATGGCCATGACTATAGTGCTGAATCCTAACCAGCTTCTTTCTTTAGGGCTGATGAGTTTCTATTGTGGATTATGGTGAAGTTTTTTATTTCTTATGTTAACTATTTGATGATGGACTTTCTTTGGCACGTTTTTGTATCGCATCAAAAATTCAATTAATGGGAAAGCTAAGGTGGTAACGTTTATGAGGACTAATTATCTAGTTGTTTCTAGGAACATAGCGTTCACCTTGGCTCTTAATACATGCCTCCTTACTAATCGGACTAAATTTTAGTAACTTCCATGCAAATAATGAAGAGGTTTGGAATTTGTGGTCTCCTTTGTCAACCTCTAGAGTTTGAAAGAATTACTTATTTGTCCTTATTTTTAGAATGGATTAGAAAATAGAGGAGACACAAGCATACAACTCATAATAATTTTAGCGTTGTTTTTTCATTAGGAGTTTTTTCACTAGGAGTATCGTGGCAAATATTTTGTGGTAAAGCTTTACTGTAACCTTCATGGGCCTTCTCTAAATGAATAATGAAGTCAAAGATTTATTTTTCCCTTTTAATCGAATTCATAAAACGCAAAACAAAAAGGTGATCCCCCCTCTTTTTTTTTGGGAATTCATCAACTTTGGGGCTTGGCACAGACTCCAAGTCAAAAAATTTTGGAAGTAAATGAGTTGTATTGGGTTCCCCTCTGACAAAAAAAGAAAATTCACTCTTGAGAACTAAGATCTCAAAGTTATGAAAGCTTTGTGGTTTCTTGGTAACCATTTTGTTAATTACAGGAGGAATACCATGGGAGGAAGTCTTGATCTAGGATAGCATTCATCATCTGCATAAAATTTGAATTGACATAGAGAAAACATATCTTCATTCGTATGAAAATGAACTTGAAGTAATCCTAATGATTAAGTGAACCTTAGAAAACTGAGGTAAAATTTTTTTTCAAGATAAACGATCAGAGTTAAATTTTTTGAGTTTTTCCAGATTAATTTTTGTCCAGTCCACGTTACAATTTCGAGCAAAAACCCTCATTTAATTGCCTGAAGTAACTTCTATCTTACCCCAAACTGAAAGTGCTTAATGTGAATACCCTATTTCGCGGGCTATAAAGCAATACACATAGGGAGTTTCTCTAATGTAGGTGATCCTGTTTAGTTTAATATTCACAGGTTTAAGATCAAGGATTATTGTAAAATTATCAGACCTGACTGTGTAAAGTGTTCATTTTTGTTTGTTTAACTATCGACTGTCAATTCTGACTTCACATGTTACTTTTTGCAGTTTGTGGACGAAAAAGTTCAGTGGATGCATATAGATATGGCTGGTCCAGTTTGGAATGAGAAGAAACGTTCAGCTACAGGATTTGGCGTATCAACGTTAGTGGAGTGGGTTTTGAAAAACTCAACCTCATAATTGGTGACCAGTTGAAACTGATTGTATTGCATGCCAGGATAATGCTCAAAATAATTTTATAGTTCCAGTAAGAGTTGAAACATCTCATCCCTGTTTTTTTTTTTTCAATGTACAACTTTGCATGATATGACAATTTTTTTTTTTTTTGGAAAATTTAACAAGAATAATCCAACCTTTGGTCGATTCTCGTAAAATATTTTACCTTTGATTTTTCTAGAATAATTCAACTTTTGCTACCCATTTTCTTCTACCAATCCTAACAAGTCACCCTACCCATCAAACCGGTTACTAAATCATGTGTCACTTTCTTATTTGTTACTTTTACTTTTAACTTGGAAGTAATTTTAATTTTTAAATTCTAATAGTAATTAATTAAAATTAAAATTAAAAATCCCCTCCCCCCCTTTTTTTTCTCTCTTCCTCTATCAGCTTCTTTCTCTCTCCTCTCCATTACCCCCGTCACCACCTTCCTCCATTACCAGTTTACCACCTCACATCCCCTCCACTTACCCACCAACAATAGCACCTACAATCACCTCAACACACCAACATCACCACTGCACTCAACACAACACCTGCTGCCACACAAACTCCCACCAGCTGTAAGCAGTCACGTGCGTCATGCAACGACTAGCCTGTCATCACCCACTAATTCATAAGAACACCACAAACCTCACCTCAACCAAAACTCCCACCCCCACTACCCCCCTACCAACCACAACCACAAGCTATTACCCAGAGTCCCACACCACCCCACCCATCAAAACCTGTCAACACCACGATCCTCTCCACCCTTATTCACCGGTCACCACCATCACGAACCCCAAACGACCCACAAATTTTAAATCCTAAACTTACCTTTTTTTCAATTATGGCTTTATTTGGTTAAAATTAACCATAAAACTCTAGATGGTTAAGTTTAACCATCAAAACCTCACACTTAAGAGCTTTAAATTTAACTACTGTAGTTTAGTTAAACATCATCTTTTCTTATATTTTTGTTCCTGATTAGTATCCCCTGAGTAGTTTAGACAATAGAGATGTCTAAACAGGTGGCTGAGGTGGGCTCTTGGAGTAAATAAGGGTTTCTGAACGTCATTATTATGGTTTTTTCCCACTATTGAGCCTTCACCCACCTTAGTGCATGAAATTATAAGGCATAAAAAAAAATTAAAAAATTACCTACCATGGAATTATAAAGCATAAAAATTTAAAAAATTAAGTACATGTGAAAGAATTAGTACAAAATATATAGCGTGGGTCAAGTTATGGGATAAAAGTTTGTTGCTTTTCAAAGACCCCAATTAACTTCTTATTTTCTTTTGGATTCTGTGGAGCACGAAAAAAAAAAAAGGTTCCATAAAACATCAGTACAAATGAATTTTATTGAAAAAAACGGAAAGATAGGGTGTGGAAGGGGCTGCATTCCAACCAACTTGTAATATTGAGGGGATGGTCATGCTGAAAGCGAAATAACTCTCTTGAACTGTGAGTTACTCCAAAGTATCATTCTAGTAACGCTTTATACCGCTATGAGGTTGAATTTTTCAGAACCCACTCCACCAATGTAGATACGCCAAATCCTGTTGCTGAACGTTTCTTTTCATTCCAAACTGGGCCAGCCATATCTATATGCATCCACTGAACTTTCTCATCCACAAACTGAAAAGTACTTGTAAAGTCAGGATTGAAAATCAATAGCGATAAACAAAAAGAACATATTATACAATCAGGTATGATTTTTTGCAATAAATCTTAAATATTGAACCGGGATCTTTGTTAAACAAAAAAGAACAGCTAAAAATTAAAGCAACTTTCTATGTACATATAAGGAAACACGGTCTTAAGGAATGTTATGATGAGCAGGACATTTTAAACTAAAAAGATCATCTATACATTAGAGCAACTTCCTACGTGTATTTAGGGAAACACGTCTTGAATCATGTTATGATAGACCTGGCAAATGGGTCATTCGGGTTGGATATGGGTTGGGTCAAGTTCGGGTCAAAAAGTTATCGGGTCAAGGTCGGGTCGGGTCATTTCGGGTTTCAGGTTGATTTCGGGTCGACTAATAATCGGGCCGAGCCGGGCGTCGGGTCAACACTTCGGGTCGGATCATATTCGGGTCGAGTCAATTTTCGGGTGCAAATTTTGGGTAAACTTCGGGTCGGATCATATTCGGGTCGATGCATTGGGTTAAATTCAATTCTGTATATATATTTATTTATTTTTTGGCGAGAAACTCACTATTTTTATTAAGGCTACTTTTTTCATGGAATATAGTAATTGTTAGACTTTTATTGACCTTGTTTTTTTTTTGTTGTTTAGATTGAGAATCAATTACAAGATCTCCTGAAACTAAGAGGGATGCTCTAACTAATTGAGTTATACCTCACTCTCTTATTGACCTTAGTTTTAATACTCTTATTATCATTGTCATTGTTCACTGTTATAATAATTTCTTTGTATTATTCTTATAATAATCTAGGTTTTTTAAGTGCTCCATTAATTTTAATGGGACATACATTGATACATGTATGCAAGCATGCCAATGCAGGAAATTGATCAATAATAGACTTCCTATTATTATTATCAGTAATTTACATTATAGAATTTTACCAATTGAATATTCTTAAAATATTTATTGTGGTGGCGATTTCAACACGTACACACAATGACACAAGAATGACAAGACTATATTTTTTCTAATAAAGACTTAAAGAGTAGTAGTGTGGATGGACGCCAAGTACTTACTCGCGCTGTGAACTTTTCTTAACCGATTTGATCAGATATATGTTATGACATGCTTTGTTTGAAATTAAATTTACTGCTAAATTGCAAATTAGGAGTCCAATCTCTCTCTTTTGTCTTCACTCTTCTCTAATCTCTACACACTTCATCTCATTTTCCATTGAAGCGTATTTTACTCTAAGTGGCCTAGAAGATTTTGTATTCCCAGAATCTCAAAATATGTAAAATACTTACAATGTTACACATTACAAATTAATAAAAAAAAAAAAAAAATTAAGTCAGTTTGATTGCGGTTATTTTCTATTTCGGTTTGATCATATCAAATCGTTAGCTTAAATAGTTTCTGGTCATTTCAGGTATAAGGTAATTTTAGTTCGGATCATTTTGGGTTTCGAGTCTATTTGGGTCAATTAATTCAAGTTAAAGGTCGGGTCACTTTGGGTATCGGGTCAACTTCGGGTCGGGACAACTTCGGTCTCGGGTCACTTCGGGTCTCGGGTCAACTTCGGGTCAGGTCGTTTCCGGTCGGGTCATTTCGGGTTACGGGTCAAGGTCGGGTCAATTCCACTTCGGGTCGGGTATGGGTCGGGTCGGGTTGATTACGGGTCACTATTTTCGGGTCATGTTATGACGAGCAGGAAAGTAACAATTGTTCCACCAGCAGGCAGCTGCTACCTCAACTAAGGATTTATTTAGTTCCATATTCCTAAACCACCATATGCAATTGGCAACATTTATAGAATATAGAGTAGGAAAAAATATTGACTTGGACATAACCACATGACATCGCAAGAAAGTAGGTGTGGAAAATCGTCTGCGATGTTTCGGGTATGTAAGACGGAGACCCTAGGGCACACTAGTACCGCATTATGTGCAGTAAGACAGGAATTAAATTATTAAATTTGTGCCTTAAAACATTTTTGTTGAATAGTGGTTGTGAAATCACCTTAAGCGGTAGTTTGACATGACCCATTATGGCGAGTTCTAGATTTCATTAGTTTTGTGTTTTAGCAATCAGCATGAAGGATGCCATGGTGTACCATGGACTGGTTATGGGTTACGACTTCAAAGAGTGGCAATTGAAAACAGTGTAGGACTGACACTCTTTTGGAAGTGATTAAGAATCCTCGAGCCTTATTAACATAAGCTCTTTGGGAGTTCAAAAACCTATCTAAATAATCGACTTCATTTTCATCCAAAGAAGCACATGATTAATCCTGGGGATCATCTCCTCACCTGTAGATCACATAAGAAAGTATCATGTCCTTGGCATCATTTCTTTACATGGGAGGGGGGCTGACAGTAACTTATATCATGACCTTTGATGTCTTGCATTTTATGAATTCCAATTAAAAGGAAAATAAAGGATTCTTTACCCTATTATTGATTCTCAGAAAGCCCATGAAGGTTAAACCTGGACTTTATCACAGCACATTTGCCACAATTCTCTAATGAAACCTCAATAAAGCTTATTATGAGCTGCATCTCTTCTATATTCTTTTCAATTCTCATGAAATGGCTAAACACTTAGGGGCTGTTTGGTTGGGGGTATTTAACAAAGGGAATGGGAATCGACGGGAATCATTCCCTTTGTTGTTGTTTGTTAGGCCACTTTTCCAATTCCCTTTACCCCCTTTATTCCCCCAAATCCCTCCAAGTTCATTCCCCACCCCCCCCCCAAGGTATTTCCATTCCATTCCTTGGTCACTACCACCCTCCTACCTAACCACATCACCGGAAACAGCTCCCCTCCCCAAACCCCCGACGACGCCAGCCAAGTCATCGTCGCCGTCGTCGTCGCCCTCCCCTCCGCCAAACCACCATCGTCGTCGCCCTCCCCTCCCCCAAACCACCATCACCGAAACCTCATTCCCCTCCCCTCAAACCACCAACGAATCTGAACGTTGGAGCAATGGGATTGATACGTCGTCGGAGTTAGGGTTTTTTACGTGGTGGGTAGGAGTCGGAGAAGGGAGAGGGAGCGGTAAGGTGGTCGGGGTTGGTGTCGCCGGCGCAGGGGAGGGGACTGGGGTGCTGGAAGGGGGTCGCCGGAGGCCCGGGAGTGGGGAAAATTTTAATGAAAGAGATCAACAGTGGTGGTGGTGAATCTAGTGATTCCCATTGTTTTTTTACAACCAAACAACATACTACATTTGAGGGATTTTCATTCCATTCCATTTCATTCCCTTTGTTCATTTCATTCCGTTTACCCCATGCAAACCAAACGGCCCCTTAAACTCTTTCTAGACTCCGGGTATCAGGTAAGGAGACTCCATATCTCCATTACACTTTATTTGCATGGGCACTATCTCCCACCTAATTCTAAAGACTTGTAGGCATGCCTTTCATCTCCCACCTAATTCTAAAGACTTGTAGGCATGCCTTTCAAGTTACTACATCTCATGTCAACATATTCCACATCCCATTTGGATCTCATACTCTTTGAAGTAGGAACGAGCCCACCCGTCTAGTTGAAGCGTCGAGACTCCTAATAACTATCTTTATAACTTTATTTAGGAACTCTTAGTTTCACCTTACTCTTGAAGTAGGGGTCTTACAAGTGGGATTTTAATTTGTCTTTATTATTAATGGATTTCATTTTTAGGTGTTTTGGGCTTATAGTATAGGTAGGTTCCAAGTTGTAAGGGTTAGTTATTAGGCTATATAGGTCAATAGGTCATTAATACATTCTTTGGGTGTTCTTGAGACTTGAGAGGATACTAAATTCCATTGGTTGCTTGCGAGCTTCAATAACATCAATCCCTTTCATTAATCACAAAAAAAGTTCATGTTTTACGTCAAGATACGTACACGTAGCCATGAAGCACTCCTCGATATTATTTTTCAAATCTTGGCTAAGAATAAACATCAAGAAGAGCATAATTGTGTTCTCTCCCAATTACTCTCCTCAAACCGAATCTCTTTAAAAAAAAATCTTGAATGTAAAGGCAATGGATGACATCGGATCCTATTTATGATTTCTCCTCTTAAGAAGAGATTTAACTCTTCTAACCTCCTTGTAGTGAGAAATGGCAATAGTAAAAAGGAAGAAAAAAAAAAAAAAAGTCAGTTTGTATGGAAGCCTATGTTCTAAGAAAGGTGCTGGTTAACAAGTCCTCATTCAATACTGCATACACAATATTAAGAAAATCCTTGAACAAATGGATAACATATGTGCCAATTTGTAACAGGCTGAAGATAAAAGAATTATAAGAATTTTTTTTCATATTTTTATCTTTAAAGAAAGAAGATGGTTAAGATGTAGAAGATAAAAGCTCAAGTCCTCACGAACGCTGTTCTCTTGGTGAAGCTTGTTGGAACATCAACTCTTCTAACAGTCTACAAGCCAGTGTTTACAGGCCACGATCTGAGGTAAGACCCTGAATAACCTTACTCTAACAACTCTTTATGGAGCAGAGTGGGAAAAGGTTGAAGGAAGTCGATGAAAATTTAAGGTAAGGGAAGTGTTTTGTTTTTGGAAGGAGATGTTGGACCAAAAGAAGGTTGAATGTTTGACTCTGAAATTTCTTGTCCGACAAAAAGTGTGAAGAGAAGATTTGGTAACTTCACCATATGGTAACAGGGTAAAATTGAGTAGCATTGTTGAGGCTGCAATGAAACTTTGCAAAAGTCATGTTAGCTGAAGTGTGGTACATACTAAAGATAAGATTGAATCTGAATTCATCGAGTAGATTAGGTATGTTTAATTAATTCATTATGGTGCACATTGCAGGTTCCCAAACGACGTACAATATTAATCATGGTAGAAGAGCACATTTGAGGTTCAGAAATTACATTCTTCCTCAATTTCCACAAATATTGCACCTTTTGTGTGCTTGGTCAATATTATATTGTCTTACACTATATGAGCTTATAAGCCTTGAACTTTGTTTTATTTCCCTAAAAAAATT